GTACAACACATGGTGGCCCCGCTGCACAGCTGGGCTCGGTGAAGAGGGGTAGAACTGAGGAGTGACGGTGATGCGACAATATTTATATGTGCAGGCGGAGCCTGACATCTGTCGTCATCACGTCACCTGCCTAAAGGCGTGATTAGAGGTGGCTTCAGCCAGGACACGCAGGGGCGTGGTTCCCATACATGATGTTGTACCGAGTGAATTGACTGAAAGGGAACCACAAGAATATTGTGCTGCGTGAGATGAATTTGCATCCTTGGATACTCTTGTTTATACTGTTTTTAAGATAACACCGCACTGATTTTTCAGCCACAACTCATTTTTCAAATCCAAGCATGAATCTGGCTGCCAAACAGGGAAACAAGCTTGCAGTACATTGGGTAATGTGTGCGTAAGAAGAATTTACAGAAGATCTGTGCGAACAGTTTCTCACCATCCATTCCAGCCGGGGGTCCCTGCTGTACTCCAGCATAAGGAGCCTGTGGCTGAGGGGGCACTCCAGGCTGAGGTGCTGCAGAGGAGGAAGCGATGCTGTCAGGTGTTCCTGAGCGCTCCTCTGCTGCAGCTGCTGGGGCCACTACACAAAAAGAAACATACAATAAAAAAACATGGACACTTGGCAGGAAAGTATCTTACTTTTTTAGAGTTGTGGAATTTGAAGTACCTGGGGCTTGGTCCTCACTCAGACCGAAAGCAGAGATTACATTTTTGCTGACCTCGTCCTGGTTTTTTAATGGATCAAAGGCTGACATGCTGGCTGCACTGACCGGAGGGGCCTGTTTCACTGAAGTGTCTGCTGCTACAACCTTCCCATCACGTCCATCCACCGACTCTATAAACAAACAAAAAACACATCTGAGCATCAAGAAAACAATGAATTGATCATGTTACTACAATATTAAACAAGCTTATATGTGACATATGAAGCAAGCTTTAAGTGGTATAATTGTTTTTCACATTCAACTCAAAGTAAAGTACCCAGACTAAAAATCTTTACTCTCTGAATGCAGGGCTGTGTCAATGTGTTTTTTAGAAGTTACTTTTAAAGTCCCAAGTTTCTCTCATGAAGCAAATTATAAAGGCATCGACGCTCAATAACTTTACACAGTTCTCATAAAAGCTTTGATGTTTGTTACAATGAAGCAGACAGAGCCAGTTTCTGATGTGCATTAATGTGGGTTAGTTTGACCACAATCAAACTGGACCGAACTGGTCTGCTACAAATTCAGTACACTGCTCAAGACAAATATTGCAGCAAGAATTCAGTAAATTATTTCAACAATGACCGACTCTTTTAAAAAGTCTCATTCTGCTGCCAGTGTCTGTGTGTTTTTACAATTTTGGCCATAAAATAAGTGAAATATATAGAAGAATTATTTGTTAAGGTCATGCACACGATTTTAACAACATTACAAACCTTGACAGAAGCCTAAATTAAAATAAATAAATTAAAAAAAATCATAACCTCTAAGTGAAAATGTGTTTGCTCTAACAGTGGGCCAGAAGCACAGAGGATTGTGACACTGAATACTTTTTTTCACTCCCATTGAGCACATCTATAATTGGACAGAATTCAATAATGTTTATCTTTAAACAATTGAAATAGCAGCTGTACCCACCAACACACAAGGAGAGACACTAATGTTTGTATCTACAAGAATAAATGTACTCATTTTATCAGATTACTTTGTGTGAGGAGATTCTTACCACTTTCCAGAGCTGTAGAAGTCAGACCAGGCTCTGAGGGGGGCTCCAGACTGTCAAGGAGGTTGTTTACTTTATTCCTGAGCTCAATCAGCTCTCTGCGCAAATATTTCACCTGACTGGACTCCAAAGGCCGTGGCTGACCATTTACTGCAGGGATGAGAATATAGAGATGTGACAAGGTGAAGAAACAAAAAAACTTCTCGAGTATATGAAAAATAAAAAGTCCTACATTTCTGAACCTTGTTTTGTATAAAATTATTACCTGTGCAAACATAAAGATTGAGAGTTTTAATGAAATCTTATAACTTAAAAAAATGTATGTACAGTGTGTGTCGTATAT